CTTTGCATAAAGTTTCTCTGATCTCAAAACTCCAAGAACTTCCCTCAAATGCTCCTCATGCTGCTCTCTAGATCTCGAATATACCAGAATATCATCGATAAATACAATCACCGACCGATCCAACATCGGCCTGCATACCCTGTTCATGAGGTCCATGAACACAACCGGGGCATTGGTGAGCCCAAAAGGCATCACCACAAACTCATAATGCCCATAACGCGTCCTGAATGTTGTCTTCTGGACGTCCTCGTCCCGCACTCTCACCTGATGATAGCCCGACCTCAAATCGATCTTGGAGAACCAAGATGCTCCCTGTAACTGATCGAATAAATCGTCGATCCTCGGCAACGGGTAACGGTTCTTGACCGTCAGCTTATTCAATTCTCGAGTACTCTATCATGCGTAGACCACTCTCTAATAGATCTCTCATAAACCCCTTGATGCTACCTACTCACTCTCAACATCTCATAGCAGCTCACCCCTCCCTAGGCTAAGGCATCACAAATCAGGCCACTCTAGTCCTATTAGCAATACCTAGCCTACTCTAGCATGCAGATACATCATATCAATATTAATATCACGTAATATAAAGGTATTTTGGGAATTCACCGTTCGGGCGCTGACTGATCGTACACACGTTTCTTCCTGGAATTTGTTTCTTTTTCAAGAAAATCTTTTACTCTTAGAAAAGTTAGGTTCTTTTTTTGAAAATATATTTTCAATTCCTCAGTTTGAGTTCAAATACTCCCGAAGGTGTACCCGAATCCCTCAAACCAAGGCTCTGATACCAAATTGTAACACCGTAAATTTCAAAACAAAATTTTCAATTTTCTTATAAAACATAATTCGATTAACATTCATCAAACAACCATATTAATTATCCAATTATAGGTTACTACAAAATCCCAAGATCACAATGTAAAAACCCCGAGTGTGTGTGTACGGATCAAGCCGGCGCCTTCCCGCGGTCGTCACTAGTACCTGAAACAATAACATCAAACACCGTAAGCATAAGGCTTAGTGAGTTCCCCAAAATACCACATATAACACATATTAGCCACTCGAGGCTATAACTCTGTGGGTCCGTGCACCCAAACTCTGTGAACCCTCAGGTTCTAGCTCTGATAAACATGCACTACATAAATCACATAGAAATAATGCAGTACAACACATAACATACATAGCATACAAATACTCTATCACATAACTCTGGTTACCTACTCAAGGTAATACAGTATAGTGAGAAGACTCACCTCGCGTATCTCGGTATCTCACGAATCCTGGAAATCCCTCGTGCTCGATCCTCCGAGCTCTAATCCTCCTATAACATTATATGTTTCTAATTAACACTTTATATCTCTAAGGTTGACTATCCATAAGAAGTCAACACAGGTCAACTCTGGTCAACGGTCAACTCTGACCGGACTCGGCGAGTACCATGGCGACTCGGCGAGTCTAGACGTTTTCACCAACCCTCTGAAATCCCCTTACTACACGTCGAGTATTCCCCCCTTTACTCGACGAGTTTCACCTGAATGAATTGCGAGACCACCCCGACTCAACTCGCCGAGTCTTAAGGACAACTCGGCGAGTCCAAGTTTGACTCAGTCCACTTGTCATCCCTCTCCAACTCACCCTGACTCACTGAGTCTACCCATGACTCAATTTGGACCACTCGCTGAGCAGTCCCATGGCAATCTTCAAGCTACTTGCCGAGTCGGATGAACAGACTCGGCGAGTCCATGCCATGCAACCACTCCAACTTGCTTCTAAGGTCAGATCTGCTTCCAAAAACTATAGATCTGGCCTCCCTCGACTGATTCATCACGTAAAGCTCCTATCTTGGTGCTCATAACACACCCTATAGCTCATAAATGGAGTTTTTGACCTAAGGCATGAGGATTCCAATCCAAAGCCTCCATTGATTCCCAAAAAGCTTGGGTAAAGGGACACTCTGGACCTCTAAGGTTCCAGATCTATGGTTCAAACCTCATAAGGGACCAAGAGGACACTAAATCTTGCCATAAAAGGGTTCAACAAACCCTAAATCTAGGTAAACAACAACAAGGAAGAAGGTAACTCGGATTTATTACCACAAAAGTGATGCTCTGGACTCCAAACCCACAGAAGTGGCTCCTCTTGCTTTCCCTTGGCTAGCTCCTCTCCTTCCTTGCAACAATGGCACCTCCAAGGTCAATAATGGCCTCCTACTTAGCTCCAAATGCTCACACTCGATTAGGGTTTCACTCAAGGGGCTGGTGAGCACAAATGACGGCCATTAGGCCCTTTAAATAAGTCACAAACCTGAGAAATTAGGGTTTCATTACACAGCGCTGACTCGCCGAGTCCATATCCTGGACTCGTCGAGTCCAGGCATGATCCCGCGTCCAGATCCGCGTCCCTACTCGGCGATTCTAAGCTCCAACTCGCCGAGTCCCCCCACAAATCAACAAAATACAATAAACAAGATACCTGATAAAATCCGGCTGTTACATAATCTCATTCATTCAAGAGCTACTTTACTCTTCTCATATGAGTTAAGAGGTTACTACATGGTCACATAAAAGCAGAGGTACATTTGTTTCTTTTACCCAATCTTTTTCATCCTAAAATTCTTACACACTCACACACAAATACATATGTCCAAGCGATCTCTGATAAAAACAAATCAGGATCTAGACATATCAAAACAAATCAGGATCTAGACATATCATGAGACCGTGATGAAAGTGAAATCCTAAATGTCAAACCACCTTAAGGAATTAACGGGGAACTTTGTTCTAGAATTCATGAAACATTTGTTTCAGTACCTGATTTCGATACGCAAAATCATATTCCTTCTTTGTTGTAATCTTGATCAAATGTTCGAAACCCATAACATTTCTTACCCAACAAGATTGAAAATTACTTTTGGTTCAAGAATACGATTTTCGTCTGAGTATCATTCTCAACTTCGTTACTTCATAAAATTTTCAAAGCTTAATTGTCACTGACTACACTGGTCAAACAGGTAGTTTCGTTTACAATGTGTCATACTTATGTTGAGTATTCATTGTATCGAAATTTTGAGCCACCTTTTAAAAGAAGCCCTTCGATACTTCTCATCATGTATTCATTATAATTCACGGGAAACCACATAAGCAGTTGATCATCTCTCTTGATGATTAACAAAGTAATCTTTGCCCGGGGTTTATTTGCCTTCATGTCAAAATTATATTTTCGACATCACAGATCTAAAATTTTTTTATTTGCTTCTTATCTTTTTAAATCGCACACAACACTCATGAAATCTTTGAGGTTCTATGTATTACCAACTCAGGCTGGTGATTTCAAAAGTCTGGCATATGGATTCATTTTCAAAACCCAAAAGCGAAAGAACCCAACCTCCATTCCGAAGGTTTTGGTCATTATCCACAATTACTCACGAAGAGACTTTGATGTGACTGTTTGGTAACTGTGCGTGTTTATCGGATATCGTGTTATACACTTTATCTGACATGGCTTCTTTAACGACTAGCGGTGCAACTTTCAAGGGCCACGTCTACACTACATTTATGGTAACCGTTTGAGATTCAAGTTTGGGGTACATATAAAAGGGGCAATTGGGTTTTCATTCCAATTTTACTCGTACTAAAAATTCTTAAGACGATTTGAGCTATCTTTTTTCTCTGTTCTTCACGCTTTCAAGAAAAACCATAGTTATGGCTGCTCCTCAATTCAACACTATCGAAGACATCTCTTGTCAACTTATCATGAAGATTCAAAGTACTAACTATCAAGTTGATGGTGATGTTACTACGTACCTTGAAGAACTAAAGATGCTCATCGTTGTTTTGAAACATTCAGTTTTATCGACTGTAATGTTTAGTTCCTATGATGTTCCCATGTCTTGGCTTTCAATTGCTAGGTCTACTTCCTTATACATCAAGAAAATGGATACTGTGGCATTCAATATTATTAATGATAAGAAGTTTGGGCTTACTAAGAAGTTGTTTTCCAAGATCCTTGAAATCCCTAATTCTCCACCATTCTACAAAGTGACCAATGAACAAGTTCTTCACATGTTCAATGAGATGGGTTATCAACCTACTCTTACAGAGATCAGTGAGTTCATGAAGTATGATATTCCCAGTATATGGAATTTTCTTTTTTGGATTTACCTTCGATGTCTCACAGGTCGAAGCATTGGTTTAGATAAAGGATTAATGGAGGTGTATGCAATGGTAGCCGGAATCTATTATGATCTACCAGTCAACTATGCAACACAGATGTGGAAATATTTTTTGAAGAGTGTTGAAAACACGAATGGAGTGGATGGGGTTTCATGTGCAAGCTATTGGAGTTTAATTTTTTGTTATGCTTATGAAAAGGAAGGTGTTTTGGTGCCAACTGATGAGCCTAAAGCAGAATTTGTGAAGTATCATTACCTGAAAACGATTGAAGATGATGTGAGTATCTTTCCTGCAGTTTCTAGAATTCCCGATGGGATACTCAAGAAGGTTGATCCTTCGAATCTAGTGTTGATGGTTTTTTTACTCACTATAAGCACAAATGACAAAACTGGTGTTGTATTGGAAAAACCTGATGAAGGTTCTTTGAAGAAATCTAGAAAATCAAAGAAAACTGATGAGTCTACTCCTGAGAAACATGTTCCAGAAGAAAAAGTTGCTAAGTCACCCAAGAAGAAGGCTGGAGTGGTGATTAAAGTTTCGAAGAAGTCAGACAAGCTTGTTGAGTCGGAACCTATTGAGCATACGAAGGATATTGTTCCCTCGAAAACATTCAAAAGACTTAAAAAGAAAGCTCATAGGTCACAAATTTCTCCTTAAATATCTTCTAGTTTTTATCCTTCCATTATTCGAAAGCCACATGTTACACTGAAAGGTTTCATTATTCGTGAGGTTCCCGTACCATTTCTCCTTCTTTGAAGAAACGAAGGGCTGAAGATGTGGTAAAGCATATTTCCAAGAAGACGAAGAAGAGGAAATTGATTCTTTAGGATGATTCAATGGAAGAAGAAGAAGTCCCTAAAACTCCAGAGCGTGATTTTCATCCAAGAAGAAATCTCCTGTCAAATTGATTTCGAGGAGATAGGAATTTTGAGTAGCTCTATGAAAACTTCTACAGTGGACACAACTACTATTCTTGGTGATTTAATAAAACCATCGATTCCTAAGCAGACTTCAGTTATACCACCCGAGGTGTCGATAACCAAGTCATTTCATGAGGAGGTTCGAACCTCAGGCATTTCTACACACGTATCTAATATGGATGTTAATGTCAATATGGGTGAAGGAGTCTCGAAAAATGGTCACCCGGTGTCTACTCAAGGTATTCGCGAAACATCCGTCATTACTACCACTACTTCCTTACCATCCTTTGTATCAACTGTTACTACTACTATCCATTCACCAACTTTTGATCAAGTTATGAATCAACCCATTACTTATGTTTTTCCTTCTCAATTCACTAATCCACCCAAACTTGTTAATGGTGATGAGACTGATGATGAAGTATTTGGAGGATCATTTCTTGATCACGAATTTGATCATGAGGAAGAAGTCATCCCAAATCACATGCTAATGTCAGGGAAACAGTTCAAGATCCTCAATAGAAAGCTCAACTCATTGTTACAGTCACAAGTTGATGTTGGAAGCAAACATTCAGTATTAGGAATTGAAGTCGACATTATGCTCAAGGCTCAGGAGCATCAACTTCAACATAAGCTGGATAGTTTAGACAAGACAATAAACTCCATGTCAAAGCTCAGTCTGATACGTTCAATAATGAAATCAAGGAGTTAAGACTTGTTATGAAGGAAAGGCATGTTTTATTTGTTAAGGATGTCAAGACGGTTAGAGAAGATGTCAATAGGAAATTGGAAGACTTGAAGGTTAATGTGGCCAAAGGAATCAATGAGTTGAATATAACCTACTCTTCTCTACTTTCAAAAGTAGACATTATTGTCGAAGCTTTAACAAAAGTGGTGCAATGGTATCAATCTTTACTTCCCAAGTTTGATGGAAAAGCAACAGTTGGTCTTAACAATTGTGGGAAGATTGATACTCTGCTTCGTGAACTCAACGAGCTAATTTCGAAATATAGTTCATTTTCTCTTTTAACTCCCGAGTTCTTAACTCAGAAGTTTTGTGTGTTCGAAACAACTATTCAGCAGGACTTGGCCCCACTGTCTCATCTAATCAGTCTCTTACTAACAAATACCCCACATGTTGTCATAGGGGTGCATGGCGGAGAACGAAGACTTTTTGGTAAAGGTGAAGGTGCCCATGGGAAAACAGATGAAGAAGTTAAGGTTGTTGTAATGGTGTTTACAACTCATAATTGTGACAACCGTCAAAATTGAGTCGATTCTTGATTTTACTAAACTTAGTTGCACTTATAGGCACAACACATACTAGACTTAGTAACTAGAAACTAAGTTATAACCTACTAGAAACTTGGAAACAATTAGAATCAGTGGATAGTATACTTAGATTTCACATTAATATGTGAATTCTACAACTACTTAACTGTAGTGAATATCCATATTCGGGTCTCTCTTTGACTCGAACACCTTTTCATGAATCATATACACACATCAT